CCACCACCACCACCACCCGCTCCCCCCACCCCCGCTCTCCTGGGAGGGGGTGGGCAGTGCAGTGCCCAGCCTCAGGGTCTCATATGCTATGTTCCGGAGACTCAGAGGTGTGGCCCCAGCTCCAACCTCACCTCCCCCCAGCCTTCCCGCCTGCACTAAAGCCCATCTTGGTTTCACTTAGGGATTTGTTTCAAGCCTCAACGGTGATGACATCACAGGGCCCAGGGATTCCCCACTTGAGTTCCAGTCTTCCTTCTGTCACTGAATAAGATATTTCCCTTCCTGATTCCATCCTGATGTCACGGCTGAAGCTTCTGGTTCCTGAGCTCAGGATTCCCAGGCAACCCCGTGGAGTGCTCCAGAGGCCAGAGCTGGGTCAGGGCTTGGAACATAATCAGGAAATGGGTGTATGGTTCTTTCTCTTTTTAAAAACCCTCTAGGTTTTCATTCTCTCCATAATAATAGTGGCGTCATTTGAAAATTGCTATTACTTTTCAAGGAGGAACTGAGGTCCAGGGCAGGCCTGTGACTCACCTGAGGCCCAGGGGGTTAGCGGCACACTGCAGTCCACACGGGATGCTTGGCTTCCTTTCCCGCAGTTCTCACCCCTCACCGCATCCCTTCCATTTCCCGCTGGCCCCAGCCCAAGCCTCAGCCCACCAACCGAGATCTTATTGTGGAAACTGAGGCCCAGGTAGGAAGAGATGGGCCCAGGCCCATCCTCAAGGATGTGGACAGAGGCTGGCGCTGCCCTCACTAGCCCTCTGGCTTTTTGCCAAGGTTCTGCTGAGATCATCAGCCAGGGCCATGTCCAGGTGCCCAAGCCTTGGCCAGAGTGGGAGGAGGCTGGCAGTGAGACCTCAGGGCTCAGGCTGGCCCCAGACCTGCTGCTCCCCTGCGGCTTACAGATCACCAGCCTGAGCAGAACCTTGATGAGGCCCTCGTGGGGAAGGCAGATTTGTTGGGTGAGTAAACATGAACCTACTATTGTCAGCTACTGGGGACACATCAGGGCACAAAACAGGCAAAAACCCCCACCTTTCTGGAACCCACATCCTAGTACATGAAGACAAACGAAAAATGATTGAGAAAATGTTAAATATCTAAAAATATTATATATCTAAAATGCTATGCAGGGGGGGGAAATGCAGGAGAGGAATAGAGGGGGCTGGCGGCAGGGTTGCAGTTTTTAGTAGGGTGGTCCCTAAAGACCCTATTTGAGAACTTGACATTTGAGCAGAGATTGTAAGGCGAGGGTACGCTTTGCAGATATCTGGAAGAAGGGTGTTCAGGCAGAAGGAACAGCAGTGCACAGGCCCTGAGGCAGGAGCATGCCTGGCATGTTCTAGGAGCAATGAGGAGGCCGGTATGGCTGGAGTGGTATGAGTGAGGAGAGAGTGTGCGAGGTAAGCCAATGTTCAATGCCCATTGCAGACACGCTTTATGGCAGGAAAGAATAAGCCATTCAGGGGGCAGCCTGTGACAAGACCTATAAGGCAGGGAGGGCATTCTAGGCAGAGACCAGCTTGTGCAAAGGCAAAGAAGTATGAGGTGGCGCATCGTGTTCAAGCGTGAAGTTCCAGGGGCTGGAGCAGGAGTAGAGTGGGAGTGAGAGGTGAGGCTGGAGGAGCCGGCTGCAGCCTGACTGAGGAGGGCAGAGAAGCAGCAAGGGGCAGAGGTCTCGGGAACCCTAAGAGAAGGTTGGGAGGGCCAGAGAGCAAGAGATGGGGTTCAGGATTTGAGAGGTCAGGCATGGCTATGGTCAGGGAGTGAGTGTGTGGGCATGTCTCTAGGATGATGGCAAGACTTGGGGATGTGAGGAAAGCCAGCCAGAGCCTCTGTCGGTCCTCACCATGAGCCTAAGGATGTGTAGGACCCCCTCCTCCAGCAGGGAGCACCAGGTGCATGGCATGGGGCGGGGGGATGAGCTGTCACCACTGGGGGGCACAGCAAGGGAAACCAGTCTGGGCTAGGCAGGTGCCAATCGCTCTTCCTTCTCCTCCACAGTCCTCAGGGATTGATCCCTGGCTGGTGCTGGTACTTCCCTGGCAGTTGGTCCCAGGCTACCCTGGTGGGCAGTGCCAAGGCAGGGCTGAGGAGGCAGGGCATAGGAAGGGGAAGCCCCCTTGGTTTCTGTCTCACAGCAGGGACCCAATAGGGAAACCCCGCAGGTCCCAAAAGGAAAGTGGCAGCAGTGGGCCTTGGGGAAGACCAAGAAACCCCCATTTTCTCCCTGAAGATGGGAAATCCAGGGTGGGGCTTAGGGTGGGGCTGTGCTGGAAGGAAGATCTGTGGTTGATGCAACCCAGCCTTGACAGCTGTCTACAGAGCAGAAACTATTCTGGAACCTGGCCGGGGCCTGGTCCTGACTCACACAACCCAACCTGGCCACAGGCTGGGCCCTAACCTGCTCATCAACTGAGCTCTTATCCCAGCCCTGACCTGAGTCACAAGCTGTCAGAACCTTGACCACAGACCGAGCTCTGTACCCTCTCTGGACTGAGCCCAACCCTAGTTCATCCCACATAGAGCCCCCAGGCCATTAATAGCTCTGACCCCAAACACAGAGCCAGGATGCTAGCCCCAGACAAAGCTCTGAGTCCAACCCTAGACCATGTTCTGATCCCAATTATAGAGTGAGTTCTAATTCAAGATCTGACTCTGGCGAAAGACTGAGCGCTTGGCCCTGAATTCAACTTCTCATCCAGCCCTGACCTAGGCTGTAGACTGAGCCCTGACTCTGCCCAGACTGAGACCCCTCTGCCCCACACAAAGCCCCATCCCAGCCACCCAATGAGCCCCAACTTCCCTTGTATTCCCTTCCTCGGCCATCTGGTAAACCAGAAGAGAGTAAGACCCTAAGTCCCCTCTGATGGACAGTCATCTTACCTGGCCATTCATCTTTTGAAGGACAGTAGGCTGGTGGTGGCACTAGAACGATAATGACAGAGCAGAGAAACAGGAGGGGATTCAAGTCTCTGGGACCTACCAGCAAACAGAGCAGGTGGCTCACCTGAGAGTGGGGAAGTGAGGGGAAGACTGGACCTGGAGCTCAGCAGGGTCAGCAGCTTGGATTGACAGAACCCCAGCTTCCCACCATCCCCCACCACACCCCCTCTGGGAAGGGAAATTACATTTCCCCATTTAGCAAGGGGTGGTGAGGAGGGAAGACTGAGTTAAAGCAAAGCTGAAAGTACAAGCAGCACGGAAAGTGAAACTGGGCACAGCCCCCAGTATAAGACTCCCCCGGCCCGGGAGATGGCTGGCCAAAGAGGCTGGGCCCTGCCATGGGCCAGAAGGCAGGCGACCTTGGCTGGCGTGAGTTTGAGGCCAGGGCTTGGGGCAGAGGGCGGGGGAGGCTTGGCTGAGACTGGGCAGAGGATGGGAGAGCTTGACTGGTGTGGGTGGGGGTGAAGGGCTGAGGGGCTACTATTTGGCAGACTAAGGATACAGCTGACGGAAGGATGGGAAGGAGGCCGGCATGGAGGGGGAAGAAGGGCTGGATAGTCAGTTGATGGTTCAGCCTTGACTGGATAGAGGATGAGACAGTTTGGTTGGCATGGATGGAGAGAGTTGGACAGGCAGGTTGACCAGAACCCAGACCTGGCAGGTAAATGAAGAGTTGGGTTGGACTGAATGAGCTTGGCTGAGCACTGGGGCTGGTTAGAGGAAGAACAGCAGGAATAGTTGGCTCATGTCAGGGGCTGTGGCCAAGGCGTCAGCAGCCTAACTACAGGGGTCTGTAGTTCGAAGCCTGGGGGGAGGTCCATTCTGCAGTTGGAGCCTGAAGGACTCGGAGGCTGGGACCAGAGCAGATAGCAGGGTCAGAGTAGGGACCAAGGACTAAAGGATGGGACAGAACCTTCGATGGCCAGGACCAAGGACCCAGGACTGTCTGCCAAGGGAAGGGTCTGGGGGCTCCAGAGCTCAGGCAGGAAGTGGAGGGTCAGTAGGAAATGACACAGCTCAGTTCTGGGTGGGCCATACCCACCAGTCTGGGCACCCCTCTCCCTCAACACAGACCTGGAAGAACCCCACTCTGCCCAAAGTCTCCAGGAGCCCAGAGTGGCCCCCAAGTCAGGGAGCCTGGAAATTTGAGGGCCAGGCACTGGAAGTCCTCTCTGGAAGTCCATGGGGCAGGGGGACCTCCCCAGAAACTCCCCGTGGTCTTTACGGAGAGGACATTTCGAGGAGCAGAGCCCAGGGCGAGGGATCAAGAACAGACAGGGAAGAGGCAGGAAGAGGGGGCGAGCAGGAACAGACTTAGGGACTGTTTTGGTTTGTGTTTCGAGGAGAATTGTGTAACCCAGTGATTGCTAGGTTTCCTCTCCCTGAGGGAGAAACCGCTGAATGCTGCTCTCTTCCCAGAGCTCCCGCCCCATTGCGCCTCTTCCTTTTGCTCAGGAAACACAGGACAGGAAGCACTTTCAGAAATCAGCTAGTCCGCCTCCCCCATTTTACAGACGGGAGCCTGAGGCACAGAAATAAGAGGTGACTTGCTTGAGGGAAGAATCCAAATGAGAAACAGGCTCTACCTCCCGTTCCAGGCCTCCTCCCCCTCGCGGCACCCCTGTTCCTCCCTCACTGCAGAGTGACCCACTCGCCTTGGTAGCGGCTTGATCAGTTTGCCCTCTGACTCCCTGGGGTAGAGCCTCCAGCATTGCCAGCCACTCTGGGCCCCGAGGCCAAGCCCGAGGAATCCTTGGCAGAACAGAGTGTGCCTGCTCCAGGGGAGGTGGTGCCTGCTCTCAGATCCCTGGGGGAAGCTCACACGGTCTGCATTTGGACAGATCCGCAGTCCAGTTCTGATCTGCATAATGGGAAGAATAATAGCACCCAGGCCGCCACACAGAGTTGTGCGGTTAGTTCACTGGAAAAGACACTTAGCCAAGGGAGTCAGTGGGGGCTGTGCAAGGCTGTGTCTGCCTGGGGGAAAGGGCACTTGCCTTTCAGTCACACAGATGTGCCATATGGTGTCTGGTTTTTGAGGGGTCAGTGGGATGATACACAGGCCCGTAGCACAGGCTCAGAAAAGGCACCTTCTCTTGAGTTTTCCCTTCTCGAAAGTTCTCCTCAAGCTCTCCCCTCATTTTGCCCACCCTCTCCTCATCTCTCCAGGGCTTGGCCTTTTGCTGCTCTCCTTGCTCCTGGCTCGAGCTGGTGTCTGGGGATTTCCAAGGCCCCCAGGGAGACTCTCCCTGAGCCTAGAGGAGGAGTTCAAGGTCAGCCTGCGTCTTGCCAGGAAGCTACTGTCCGAGGTTCAGGCCCAGGCCCACCGCTTTGTGAGTTTCCCTAATGCAACTGGCTCTGGGGATGGGCAGACCCTCGCTCCCATCTGGCCGCCACTAACAGACCTTGCCCTACAGGCTGAAGCTCACCTGCCAGGAGTGAACCTGGACCTCCTGCCCCTGGGACAGCAGCTCCCCAATGTTTCCCTGAGCTTCCAGGCCTGGTGCAGCCTCTCTGTGAGTGGGGAAGGTTGTGGGGGGGGAGGGCTGCAAGTGAGCTGGCAATAAAGCTGGGCTGGGTGGATAGAGATGAAATCAGGGGTTGAACTGAAGATAGATTTGGGGATAAATTGAAGGATAGAGTCTGGATGAGGTTAAGTATGTGATCGAATATAAAGATGAAGCTGAATAAAGAAATGGAGTTAAAAAGAAGGTAAAAGTGAAGCTGGGCATGGAAAGAGGTGGGGTGGGAATGGAATGGGATTAGGGATAGAAATTAGTATGGAGGAAGGATGAGAATGGGGAGAGGCTGGAAATAGGAAGAACGTTGGGGATGAGAAGGGTGCGGATTACTGGTGAGGATGGGAATGGAATGGGGTTGGGATGGAGTTGGAGATGGGATAGAGAGAATGAGTCTGGACATATGGTTAAGGAATCTAATTGGGAATAGGAATGGGAGTAAGGATAGGAAAGAGGTTGGAGACAGACTGAAAACAAGTGAGGAGATGGAGATAGGATGGGATGGTGAAGAAAGGAATAAAATGGGTTTGTGGGTAGAGAGTGATAAGACCATGGAGATGGGGTTGGTGTTAGATATGAGGTCGTACATGCAACTGAAAGTGAGGCTGAGAAAGGAGATAGGATAGAGGTCAGAGACAGCGGAGACTAGATTGGTGATGAGTGAAGGGGAGAACTGGAGGAGCTGAAGTTGAGGATGAGAACAGGTATTCGGTGGAGTTTGGGATGGGAATGGGGCCCAGGGAGACAGGAGGTTGGGTTTGAAGTGGGTCATCCTTGCCCTGGGGACCTTTTCTGACCCCTTCCCTCTGCTTCCACAGGGATCAGAGCGACTGTTCTTCCTCTCCATGACACTGCACCCCTTTCAAGCCCTATTGGGAGGGCTGGGGACCCAGGGGAGCTGGACCAGCTCAGAGAAGATACAGCTGCGGGCCATGAGGCTGGATCTCCGAGATTTGCAGCGGCATCTTCGCTTCCAGGTAGAGTACCCAGCCACCCTCCTTGACCCCCAGAGACCAAAACTGGGAATCACTGGCTCCCTTTTAAAATACCCCTATGCCC